TAGCATTATGAAGCTTTCCGAAGCCATTGCGGCATGAGTTCAACTCACAGCCAGGGAGCAGCAGACCTCTCCAGACCCACCCCGCTGTTCCCCTCAGCAGTGTGTTTCAGTCAATCTGTCTGTTCTGCTCCCCATTCTGTCTCTGGTGAATCCTCTCACCCCCCTGCACCTCTGGCCTGTACCCCAGTTCTTATAAGCATAATTAAATTAAATATAGGGAGAAGTCTTTCTGAAGGATGCAGAGACAGACCTCTGAGTCAAAGTTTCTGTTTCCTGGTCCAGAATTTTCCTATCACCTGTGACTGAAACAAACTCTCTGCTCAACAAAGTACACTACTGAGGGGAGCAGTGGGCTGGTCAGGAGAGGTCTGCCGTGGTCACCTCCAGGGCCAGGTATCAAACTTGCTCTGAAGTGGCTGCGACTCGCTTGCAGTGCTGAGTCCTAACCCATCACGCCACCAGGGATGGCCGGAAACAGGTTTTATGGGAGGCAATTATTTAAAGACTGTGAGCACACAGCTTATGGGCCAAGAGGCCTCTTTGAGGAAATAATGGAAGTATTTGTCCTGTGGTTTAAGAAAACAAAGAAAGCACAGCACCTGTATAATTGCCTGCTTGAAATTTTCTAATCTAAGCCAAACCTGTGGGCTCTTCAGTGACCAGACTTTGAGAAATATACTTTGCACAGAAGAGTCTGTATCTCAGGCTGATGAGTGTTAAACATTGTTGTTAGAGTCAGCTCTCTTTCTGTACTGCTTTCTGGTTGCTAATCCAGAGAACGTTTTTTCTAGCTTCCTTTCATAAAGTGACTTGCACATTAACAGTTGCTTGATAAATGGTTGCTAACCAGGCATAAAAATGAGGTGAAACTGGGCCCTCCCTGGTGGCGCAGCCGGTTAAAGCACAGCACTGAGAAGCTAAAGCCACTTCCGCATGAGTTCGATTTCTGCCTGCCCCGGAGGTGACCACATGGCGTGGCAGACATCTGCTGGCCCGCCTGCTGGTTCCCTCAGCATTTTTCTTCGTGTATCTGCCTGTTTTGCTCCCCACTCTGTCTATGGTGAAGCCTCTCGCCGCCCTGAGCCTCTGGCCTGTACCCCAATTCTGTATGCACAAATAAATAAATCTTAAAAAAAAAAAAGAGGTGAAACCAAGCTAAGCTAGATTTAATAAAAGAAAAACAGAAAGAACAAAATTAAAAAGTAGAAATACAATGATGAAAGCACAGGAGAGCAAATGTTAACATGGTTGGGAGCCTGAGAGGGGTGAGTTCCAGAAGGTTTGCTGAGGGGCTGCTCCCGGGAGTGGTGTCATCAAGAAAGGGAGGGTGAGGAGTCTGATGAGAAGGTCTTAATTTCTAGGTGTCAGGTCTGAAAGGGTCCGTGTTACCTGTGCTGAGCCAGATGCTTGCTGTGTGCGCCGCCCACTCAGTCCTGTAGCCTTACCTTGCTGCAGTCTCTGCAGCTCCTTCTGGAGCTGCCTTTGCTCCCTGGTCAGCAGCTTCACATGGTATAGGCAGACTATCTCCAGCCTCTGCAGTTTTTGGCTGAGTCTGGCTTCAGCCTGCTTGGCGTTCTTCCTCTCCAGGTCAAAGTGCTTCCCCATTGACCCCCTGTTTCGGTCTAAGCGCTTCATGGTCTAGAGACAAGAAAACAGGATTCTCTCACCAGTGACCTGGAAGGCAGGACTTGCTTGCCCCTGACTTTCTGTCAGAGAGCAGTGTCTGAAGCCTGTGTCATTATGCAACCATTGCTGCCAACTCAGGTGAACTCACACCGCTGGCAGTTTTGTCCTCAGTGAGTTCCTCAGTGACAGAGAAGGATGGAAGGCAGTCACACCTGGTAACGTCAATATCTTATATCTGATAAAATATGGACATGGGATAGGTTCTCTACACAGTCCCCAGTCAGCTTGCTCCAAAGTTTAAGTAAAAGGCATAGAAATAACTCTTTGGGAGAAAAAAAATAGAAATACTTTACATATATAAAACATTATTCACTCAATAAGAGAAATCCATTCTGAAAGGAAGCCCTTTCTGTTTGGAAAGTCTGCAGAGGACTCGTACCTGGGGCAACACCTCTCAGTGATCCTTCCTTTAGTTTATTCATCACACAGGGGTTCAGGGGCCAGTGAATCGCCCCTCCCCCATATGCCAGACGCCAAGGTAAGAGCTGGACAGAAGCCCTGCTCCCTCTTCACTCATCTACCCAGCCCTCAGGTCTTTCTACCTTTCTCTAGCCCTGAACACCAAACCCACACCCCCTTCTTCCTCCTCCCAGCTCTATTGCCCTAAATGGCAGGGACACATCTTCCTTTTCCTTTGAGACCTTTGCAATCCTTACCTCAGAGCTAAGTGTTCACACGTGCACAGGATGAAAATGAATTTTCTGCTAATTAGGCTTTGGTGACAGCACCACAGGAGAAGCTTAGTGTTAAATGGGAGGCTAAGTCAAGGACACAGGAAAGATAAATTTCAAGAATCTTGCCTTACTATGTAAAGTGTAGCCTGGCCTTTTATTAAAGAATAAGGCGAGTACGAGAAGCACTTACCTACAATCAGTGTTCTCACCAAGAGAATGCTGCTTGCTTCTTTTGTGAGGGCAGGTTGAGTCTGGGTGAATGAGCTTATTTTTGTTCTGTAAACTTCAGTGTTTGGTGTTAGGGAGTTTGTGGAGAGAAGGACCTTTTGAGAGGACTGTGGGTAAAGAATGTTAAGTACCCTTGAAAGCCCTCTTCCAGGCCCCCTCTGCAGCTCAGGAATGCTCACTCCTTGGGCATGGACACCAGCCCCTGGGGGAGAGACCAGAGCTCTAAATAGCCCTGTGAGTTAGGAAAGGCTGCCAGCTCAGGGCCCTCCCTCCTGGGGCCCACAGTGCTTCTTCTGGGCTGTGTCCATGGGAGCCAGGAATGAAAGAAGGAGTGTCTGAGCATTCTCCCTCTCTCCCTCTCCTCCTCTCTTACCTTCCCGTACTCCCTTCAGCTCCCTCCATGACCATTCCCTCTTGGAAACCAGGTCAGGAGGGCCTTTTGTCAGATGGTACACATTATGTGCAGGCCAGTAGCTAAGTGGTTTATTTTGCATTCTTGCACACTGTGTTGACTTTTCCCAGGCTTCCGTCCCTGTTTCATGTACTTATTAACATTTTCAAAGTTGTGACAACAGAGTTAGGCAAAGTGAAATTTAAATCAATGTTTGTGATTGTATCTTGGACAGCTGCAGTGGAAAGCTGCAGTGAACCATCAGTTCTTGAACAAGATATTAAGTAGGACTTATCCTGTTGACTTTGGTTTCATCTGAAAACAAGAGGCATTAATATGCCACAATCAAAAAAGAGATCTGTCAATAGGGGGCTCTATTAATCCCCCAGAGCTGACTGCAAGGCAGCTAAATGGACCCTATTACTCATAATCATCACCTACCAAACAGGCCATTATAAGGGAATTGCTGGGGAGAAGGAACACCATCATTCTCTCAGTGGGAGTTAGTCCCTGTCCCACCCTTCCCATAAAGTAATTTTCTTATCTTATTTACAACATTTAAACGAATAGGTGTGGCTCCCAGAAAGGCATTGTACAGAATGAGAAACAAGGAGACAGGTCTCCCCTGCCCTGCTGGAGGCTTGGCCACAACACAGCACCCCTCCCCACCCCCCAAGGCTGCTCTGTTGGCAGCAGAGCTGATGTCAAAGGGATTTTTTTTTTTTTTTTAGAAAAACTTGGTTCTGCATGTCTCCTTGAGTGAGAATTGAAGAAGGGAGGTTTGCAGAAATAATTCAAGGCTGAAGGGCAACAATGAGATAATGAGTCGATGTAGCATACTGGCAAGAGAGAGGTGGTCAAACTTGTTCTAGTTCCCCATGAGGAATGCTCAGTGGAGGGGTCCTTGTGAAGGTGAGTCACAGGGCAAGCAGATTTAGCTCCCAGGGTCAGGATAGAAGAAAAAGCCTGTGGCAAATAAGGAAGGCTTCAGAGATCAGAGCAACAAATTCCACAGGAGATTAATAAAACACCCCCAGGACTATGGGCAGCAGGACATTCCTAGACTGGGGGAGTTATAAAAAGGACTCTAAGGTATAGGCTGTGAAGCAAGTTATAATTCTGGGCCCAAAGACATTGAGACGTTAAGAGCAAGTGATACTAGCAGGGACTAACAAATCACAGAGAGACTGATGGGGCTGTAGAATAATTAGGGAAAGAAGGAATATATTCCTTGAGGTTCTACAGAGTCCCACTTTGTTTCTGTTCATTTCTCTGTAATAAACTTTTCATTACATCTACTTTTCTAAACAAATTTGCCTCCTTTCTCTTGCTTACCTGCACCATCAGTAAAATTCTTGCTGTGGCTTCATTAGACACCAACCTTTGTTGGTCTAGTGTGGGAACTCTGTGCCTGGGGACAGTCCTGGCTCGGGAATAGACCTGAAGGAGCATAGGGCTTATATAGCAAGCAGAAGCCACGTCACTCCCCTTGGAATGTTCTAGGTCAAATAAGAACGATACCTCACCCAGCGTGGGCATAGAGCAGGCATCACAGGGACATAGGGGCTCAACTGAGGTGAAGTTCCTACTGACAACCACACATTTTAACAGCAGAGGACAACAGGAACAAACAGAACAGAATCAGTCAATCAGTCAGGTAGCTGACAACAACCTGCACCCATGGTATTTAAGCAACACTTATAACTTAATAATAAGGACAGAAATGACCCTCTTCACAAATGGCCACAGAAACAAAAGCCAAAAAAACTGGAATAGACAGTCCAGAAGAACACCCAAATGGCCAATAAACAAATGAGTATATGGTGTGATTAGTCACCAGGGGCCCTAGTGAAAACTACACAGAGATAGCCCTCCCTACCCGCTCACCTCATTTAAATTAAAAGAGCTGCAAAACTGTGTTGCCAATAATGTGGAGCTTTTGTACACTGTAGTTAGAAATGTAAAATGAAACAACCATTTTCGAAAATAGTTTGTCAATTTTTTAAAAATTCAGTATATACTTCCCTAAGTCCCAGTATTTCCACTGCTAGATATTTAGTGGAGAGAAGAGGAGAAACATGTGCATAAAGGGCACAGAAATAGCCACAATTGTCTCAAACTGTATTTGTATCCAAATGACCACCACAAGGAAATCGATAGATGAAGTGTGGTTCATCCATATAATTGAATACTATTCAGCAATAAAAAAGAATAATTCATTGATCCATGCAAGGACGCAAAGGATTCTTACAGCTATTATACTGGTATAAGAAGCCAGATACAGAAAAGAAACTGACTCTGTGCATTTGAAATACTAGAATAGGTGCAATTAATCTGTGGTGATAGAGATCGGGTAAGCAGTTGCCTGGGTTGAGAGGCTGGATGAAAACTGATTGCTAAAAGGAATGAGGACCATTTCTGGGGAGACAGATGCGGTGATTATATGTTGCATACATTTGTCAAAGCCAACAACCTGTAGACATAAACTGAATTTTAATGTATATAAATTATAGCTTAGCAAAAGTTGATTGAAGAAAAAAAGCCTAATTTAATCTTGTCAAAAAGATGCAGGAGACGGCTGCTTCCGCCATGAAGGATTGAGTCCTGTGGGAATTGCCCTCCTGCCTTAAAAAAAAAAAAAAAAAAAAAAAAAAAAAAAAAAAAAAAAAAAACAAAAAAAAAAACAAATATATTTATACATCATAAGTCTAACAAAAAGT